GGAATCCTCATTATTAAGCCAGTGGACTGTGGGGTAATTTAAAAACTTGAGTCTATGACTTAACAGGTTGGTGGGTCCTGGGCCATCCTGGGGGACTTGATCTTCTGTTAGAGGACTGGGGTTCAATGAAGACATCAAACTTCCAGTCTTGGCTTCTGGAAGTCCTCTGGGTTCTTCTCTGTCTTGGTTGGTACAGGGTGTTTCATAAGGTTTGGGGTTTGACTCTTGGGTTTTCAATACAAGTATTGAAATGTTATTCATGACAGTTGTCTTCAACTTCAGAATGACCAATGCACCATCCGCCTTTGTTATCTTTGTGATTAAAGTTTTTGCAGAGCACATTGGTAAAAACACTCTGTAGTTCCCAGACATAATAATCATCTACAGTTATAACATGAAAAACATAAAAAGGACATTGATGCTGATTTTGCTAACCTTGAAAAATCCAGCTCCTTGCCAAATAATCCTAATTCCAGTTCTTCCAAAAGTGCCTACCCTTCTTGGGACACATAATCTCTACAGAAAGCATCCAAACAGACACAAAAAAGATAGCTGTCATCCAGAAGATGCTTGCACATATATATGGGGAAATCTTACAATTCCTTGAAATGACATTCTATGTATACTGCTCTATTTCTCAGTGTGGATTATTAGCTGCCTTGCTGTCAGCTAGCATGGGACCCAACTGCAAATTTTTGAGGACCCCAAAAAGAGAGTTATATTTTTTCCAACTCAAGGGCAAGCCCATGCTGACCCTTGCTTAAATACCCTATACCAGACAGAGAATATTAAATGGAGGCTGACACTTCTGACACTCCCATCATAGGAGTGTCCAGAATCAAAACAGCTTCAAGCAATCTCCTAATAGTGGCTTACAAAACACACAATCTCACTGGCAGATAATGCTGCTATAAAATCTACAATAAGAATTTTTAACCATTTTACACTGCATAATTATATGAAAATTTTACCTAGGATAACAAGATGGGTTTGTCGCACTCACTGACCAAAATATCCTGGTCTACTTCAAAGATCAGGAAGCCTGTCTATATTTTAGTCCAGAAAAATAATTCTGGTAGGTTTATTTAACGTTAAGATACAATATAAATCAGTAAAATAATTTGTAACAGCAGATGCACTGTCATAGCTGTACATCTGTGCCATCCAGGGAAAACTAATCTTAATAAGAGCACCTCTAATTTCACTATAGACAATGATGAGTGGTTCCTACCAGGAACTGTAGACTTCACTTGAAACAGAATTCAAAGATAAACACCTGTCTGTGGACGTCTAAAGAAACTCTATACCAAAAACTATCTAAAGGGAGCATCATTTTCTATGCCCTCGACAGAAATGCTCCTGCATAATATTGTGCCACCATCCTGATCTTGGCCATAAAGGAGCCAGAAATATCTTTAAGTCCTTTGAATATAAAGCTTGATGTCCCAACTTGAATCATAAAATATACAGGGCTCAACTAATGTGGGATATGTGATACATATTCTAAAGGTGCTCCACCCCCAGGTTGGTACTCCCCATTACCTCCTGTAAGCCCTTCAAGGTGTGGTCCTAGGACGTTGTGGGCCCATTACAGGGAAGGCCAACAATAAAACAATGCAATTGATGAGGAGCGCCTTTTGGGAAAGCTTCAAATATAGAATTGAGAAAGAAGAGAAGCATATTTTATTGGATAATACTTTAGACTTATATAGATTTGGCTGTGGCAGAAATTTATTTGGATCAAACCTAGGGGTTAGTCATGTGCAGGATGGGTTTGAGCCACTGGATACTTGGACAGTCATGTGATATTGCTTGGTTGCCATTTCCAGTATGTCAAACTGTATATTGGAAGGGCACCAAATTTGGTAATGTTTGAATGTTAAGTGAGTTGGTGGTAGCCAGAATACTTGTACATCCAGATCCTTGACACAATTGCCAAAATAAGCTTCACCATGCAATGACATGTTGCCCAAGCAAGTGAATAGGTGTAGATATTAAATGGTTTGGTAACTCAAGCTCTTACCCAAATCACTGCAGGGCTCAAGAAGAGTGGTCTAAGAAGCTTGCTACCATTGTTCATATATGTTACACTCAAGTCAGCAGGACTGCTAGAAAAAGCCCTGAAAAAAAATCTATAGAAAAAATCCTAAAATAACCAAATCCCTGGTGGGCTCCCAGATGGACATTCCCTCCAAGGTTCCCCATGAGGCATGATACAGATCCAAGAAGTGATTCAGGTACATGAATCCTATGATTCCAAATGTGACAAGTAAAATTCTGTACCTTGAGCCAGTTGTTTTAAAGTTGGGATGGAGTATTAGTGATAAATCTGGACAAAGGTAGAGTTTAATCCAAAAATTTAGGCTGTGAATTTATATTACAGGTAAAAAATAACAACACTTGAATGTTTTATGGCCAGGAAAGAAACTCCAAGATAGGGTTATATATTACAACTGACTCTTCTCTTGCCAGGTTAGACAAAAGTAAAAAAGTGTAGCCCTGGTCACCTCCAAAAACCAACTTGACAATTAGGGTACCTGAGCTCTCAACAACCTCCTCGCAGATGTACCAATCAGAAATGAAGCCATTCCTTAAAAGTGGGAGTGCTAAAACTGCATGAACAAATCCCTAGAAAGGCTATGAGCTAGACAATAAAACCCATAACTTCACTCAAAAATCCTAGGAACTGAAGCCAGGATGTGTTGAGCCAAGTTTACCAGCTGAGGTGTTACAGCAGGTTGGTTTAAATATGGATAAAATACATTTTCTAAGGTCAGAACCCCTATAACATGATCATCCTTCTATCCCAAATACCACTATAAAGGCTATATACTATATTTTTTCTACATAAAGAGATTATATACCCCAATATTGTTTTCCTATCTTCTGTAACTCTGCTATAACAGAAAATTTATGAGATTTTAATGTTGGATTAGATTTAATACATAAATGGGTTCCCATATTGGTGAATGGCAATGTAACAAGTTAAATATCTAACAATCTGGGGACCTGGCTGGCTTATGAGGATTAGACCATCCTGGGTTAAACCCATCACTCACAAACTATTGAATTTTACAGCATACTAATAGTAGCCCACATGAGATAGGGGTGTTGAGCTGACAAAGTCTGGTGCTCAACTCATAGATATAGACTACCAGGGTGCCAACTAGTAAACCACTGGGAGTGCTGCTCTAAGGAGTCCTGTCAGGGAAGATTCTGAAAATAAACAGGATTAATAGTCATTCAACCCCATGATACAGAAACTCACCACCAGGTATGGGGGAAATTGTGAGGGGTTACTTCCCTGAATTATAAAGATATAGGGTAAGAGAAAAGATCTTCATCTATAAGGTGTTGATAATGGAGGAGAAAAAAGGTACTCAAGAAGACAGAGTGATTGATTAGAGCCCAGGAATTAATTTTAAGCAGCTTGGTATAGAGAGCTTCATACCCCAGATTCCAAACCAAATATTACTGGTGACAATTCAACAGTGCTAACAGTGAGATGAAAATTTGGTTTTATGTGTGTTAGTACATGAATGTTAAAGCACTTTTAATTAAATGTGGTTGATACCGTGAATAATTTTAATATAGATTTAACTATTTGGGTATGGTACCTCAGCTAAGCCATAAACATCAAATTTATTAGATATACTACATTTTAATTCCATCTTTGAGGATAATCAGAATAGTTCTTGAGACTCAATATGATAATTGCTCCATTCACTATAAAATTAAACCTTGGAGTTACAAATGAACCCCAAATTCACCAAACATCAGCCAATAATTATATCTGTATTGGCACCAAGCATTTGAATACAGCAGACTTTAAACTAGGAGAGAGGAACCAATTCAAGCCATCTTAAACCAAAATCCACTTCATTCAGAAAAATATCAACTGGGCTCAAGAAAAATAAAATAGGTCTGGTAAATTTATTATTCTTTCTGATCTCAGTAGATTTGGTATGGACACACCATATTCTTTTTTAAGGCTACCTTGATTTCTTTTATCTCTACAGGTTTGAAAGCCACTTTAAAGAAAATCATTTATTCTACACAATATAGTATAAGCTTAAGATATTTTATATTTTACTAATAAAGGTATACCCCATACCTTTTTATATGCTTACAATAAAATATTATAAAACTTGACATTGATTTCTAAACATGTTATTTAATAAAAGTAATAAAAGTAGTTCTAAAGCCAAAGGGATATTTTGTAAAGAGGTTTGATTTAAATACTTTTTCCTGCCTTGCCAATAGCAGCAGCCCCCTTTGAAGTTCTCTTTAATCACTACATCACACTCTATTTGGCACTATTCTATGCCTCCTGATAGATTATTATCTGGGTTTGAACCTAGCAGGGCACCAAAGTACTCCAAAGGAATTATACTTTACTTGTTACTGTTAACTAACGCCAGGAACATTTCATCCCAAAATCTACTGACAATATAATGTAGGATATATATTAAATATATAGCTAAAGCATGATATACCATGGAAAAACAACCATGTTTTATTGTGTATATTCACAATGAATTTGAATCAATATGATTCAATACCAATCTCAACTTTATAAAAGAGGCCAGCCCTAAAGATGGTGTGGCCCAAGTTAAGGAATCGAGCTAATAAGGATTAAAGCATATCAATCTGAGTTGGGATTTACTCATCATGAGGCTCAAGCCTCATATTTACATCATTTAACTCTTTCTCAACTCACTTTTAAATGTGATGAAAACAGTTATTGATGAAAAACACCATGCTCCATTCACTTTCATCTACATAAGAGCAAGTTTTTTATATCCTCTGCATCCCTTTTGGCCATGGTGTATCTACCCCATTTCAGGGTTATAATATCAGAAAAAGAAGGTTTTATGTGAGTTTTCCTGGATCATAACTCTTTGCCACAATAAGATGATATATAATGGATAGGGCTGAAAACCAGACCTAATAATAGATTGATAAAAAGCTATATTTAAAAGCTCATCACATCAAAAAATTCCCTTCGCCTGGGATCGAACCAGGGACCTAAGGATATCTTTTCTTAATTACAGTCCTTCGCTCTTCCAACTGAGCTACAAAGGGAACATGGTTTTCCGGGAAAAGACTTAAGGTTTTAAAGACTTTATTTTTAAACAGGGAATCTTTGGGAAATGAGTATTGGTAATCTTAGATACCATAAAGAGAGGAAAATATATTACCTTAAACATAAAATCAAGTTTCCATTGAAGGTATTTTACAGCTAAACTATGTCTAAAGCTATGAATTGGGCTAAATGGATAAAAAGGGTTGATACTTTAAAGGAATCTAGGGTCATATCAGGAGAAATATGACTTCATAATTACGAATTTTAAAGTAAACCCCTAGTTTCCCAGCGTGCTCTCGCCGAGATGGGCGAAGTCATTGGATTAACGACGAAAAGGTCTTTTTTCAAGCTGAGCTTTTTTAAAGGTTAAATAATTATTCTATAATCCTACATGCAACCTTTGCCAAACAGCCTCAAGGCGCAGTAAAGAGGGGCTACTAATAGGAACTACCCAAAAATCCTAAAAATATGCATTTTCAGGTTGGTGCGCTTTTAAATATTACCGCCAATTCTCTTCTGCAGAACATTAAATCAAATACTTTTAATAAACTTGAGACAATTTGCTTAAAAAACATGAAGTGACTTCTTTATTATTAAAATCAAGGAAAAATATCCGTGCCATCCAATAGATTGGCATTGCATTGTCACTTTCACCTCCATCTCCCCAATCAGGGATCAGTTGTCCCTTTATTCCTACACTACAATCCTTGAATCAGAGGTTTCGGCTGGCATATACACCTGGCTTATGAAATACAAGCATTGTTTGAAGACAAGTTGTCATACAGCTGACTATACCACATCGTTTGGAAATGTGTTAAAGTTTCACAATTCAATCTGCAATGCAAAGCAGTGTGTTGACATGCGCTTGCCAGACTAATAATCATCCCAAGCCTAACATAACTCATTGTCGAAATAGCTTATTCTTCGAAGAGATGAAATTGGACCAACTAGTCTAGTGGTTAGCATGAAACGTCATGTCAATTTCAATTGGAAATCAAGGCTTGGTCCCAAAGTTGAACCTTGGGTTTAAATTATGCATGGCTTTGGAGGATTAGTGGTGATAATTTCCATGAAGGGGTTAGCTGAATCCTTTCTTTAATCGGAAACCATTTATTAAATTTCACCGCCAAAGCTCCTTACGAATCACCCCATCCATCCAACGATATAGTTTGATCTTAGAATTTTATTAAAGAGGTGATTTTCGGGAGCCCAATGCCCAGTAGTTAATATTTGCCTCTTTCAAGTGCCAGAGTTATGCGAATGGGAAAAAGGGATGTCAAATTGAATCACTGATATACAATCAAATATAAACTTCTTGCTGCGAACCCTCTTGGGTTGTAAATGGCTTTAGAAAAATTCCCATTAATTATACCAGCAAACCCTACACAAAGGTATAAATACATGAGTGCGATGGATTCCAATTCATCAAACAACTATTATGAAGTCCTTTATTGCCTCAGTACTTCTAATTGCCCTCACCCACGCCAAACCCACTGCCCAGGAGGCATCAGGAGATTTGCTGCGGCGTAGCACAGAAGTGGGATACAAACACCCTACAGCTTCCAAACCAACTCCTGTCGAGTACACTCGCCCCACAGAGTCAGCCCCATCTGCTTCTGCAGAAATTAAAGACAAGGTAGATGTTCAACCAGCCAACTACCAAAAACCTGCCGCTGCATCTGAACAGCAGCTTCCTGAAACTAAAGAAGTATCTGCTCCGGAAGTAGATGAAAAAGTAGAGACTGCTGAACAGGAAGCCCCTGCCACAGAAGAATCTACTAATGTTTCAACATCTTCTGAAGGGGAGTATCAAAAGCCTGCTGAACATGAGTCAAGTGTTGTACCTGAAGAATCTTCTGGCAAACAAGAATCAACTGAACAACCTGATGTCACACCTGCTGGCCAAGAATCCACTGAAGGTTCTGAATCCCCTGGAAGTGAATATGAAAAACCTGCTTCACAAACAGTTGAGTCTACTGCTACAGAAGGTACAACTGGAGTACCTACATCCCCAGAAGGTGAAAATACTCCCGCTGAACAGGAATCTATCCCTGTTCCTGAAGCTCCTGCTGTTGAACAAGCTGTACCCACACAACCAGAAAACACTTCTTCTGGACAAGAAGACTCTGCAAAGTATGTCACTTCTGCCCCTGTCCAAGAAGAAGCTACTCCCAAAGTTGAATCTTCCACAGAGGAAGTACTTGCACCCTCAGTGGGCGGATCAGGAGAGACAGAGACACCTGCATCAAATACAGTTCAAGAAGAAACTACTCCTGAAATCCAAACCCCTGCAACAGAAGAATCTTCTTCACAAAACACTGTCCAGGAAGAAGAAGCTCCTGCTGAGACTCCTGCAACTGAAGCACCTGCGCCCTCTGAAGAAGAATATAAAAAACCTGCTGAACAAGAATCCAGTGTTATTCCTGAAGCACCTGCACCCTCTGAAGAGGAATATAAAAAACCTGCTGAACAGGAATCCAGCGTTGTTAGTGAAGCACCTGTTGCTGAAGCACCTGCACCATCTGAAGAAGAATATAAAAAACCTGCTGAACAGGAATCCAGTCCTGTTAGTGAAGCATCTGCTGCTGAACAGGAAATCAGCAATCAGCCTACAGAAGCTCCAGCTAGCCAAGGATCAGTTGATATATCAGGAAGCACCACTGATAAAAGCTACCAAGTCACTGCTATTCCTGAGGCCATCCCACAGATCCCCAATATAACTCCTGAAGTAACTGCTTCTCAAATCAAAGAAGTTGATATCCCTATCACCAATCCTGTAGCACCTTTTCCCACCAAGGGACCTGTGGAACAACTCCCCTCTATTCCTTCCCAAACTAGCTACAAACACCCATCCTATTAAGTAACTAATAAAGCATTATTCTATCATCAACAGTCAGTACCTATCCAAGATTCAGTTTCAAACCACAAAAGTACCCTGTAATCAAACAATAGAATAATAGTATAGCTTTAACTTTAATCAATATTTATTTTGAGATACATGATATCTCCCAAAGACAATTCTGAGCTAGATTTAACACTGACCAATTTACCTGACATGCAACTCTACAACTTATCTGGATATATTCATTTATATAAAAACATTTCAATCACTTCCTCCATCCATCAGATAAAATCATGCCTTTTCTTCCAGGCTTACCATGATTCTAAACCAGAGTCATCTAAAAGAGTTGCAAGAACACAAAAGAAAGAAGATCCTCTGTCAGCCTTTATAAAATATGATAAAAAATTCAAAGAATCCATCCTTGTCTCCAAGCGCTATAAATTATGCCTAATTTACTGGCCATCCGAGCTGTGAATTTTCCAGATATCAGAAGTAATGGCAGGATTGCCCAACTTCATTTCAGCACTTTTGATCAAATATAACCAAAGACAGACAATGCATACCAAGCTAATAAAGTCTCAGACAAGAAGCATTTCTATTTAAAGCAAAGTTTAGTATAGAAAATATGTATATCTGTTGTAGTTCTTCCTGAGTTGGTTTGTATATATGTTTTTTCTTACTCAAACCATAATGTTATATTTAACTAAAGACTAAGTTGAGATTGCTTCTCTAAACCTAATTTGTATTGTAAATTGTATAAGTGTAAATATCTGTCAGGAACCCACCCTTCTGGAAACAGCTTCCCAACATGATGGATCAAAGCAGAAGGATTCAAACTTGTGATCATAGAGCCAATTAGCATGGAGACCATGCCTAAGTATAATAATTCTCCAATGATTTGGTATCTTCCCAATAAGGGATTGAATTAGCCCAGGAAGACATAGGCACCTAGGTACGCAAGCAAGAAACAGAAGCAAACAGACATAACAGACCAGGTGGCACAGGATCAGAGGTTGCAGATTTAGTTTCCTGTTTAGTGGGTGGGTTCAAAGAGAACAAGGAGGCAGTATACCATCTGCCTGGTACAACTGGGGCCCACTTTCCATTATCACAGTATTCTGTGTCTGTCCCAGATCCTGGGCAAGTTTCCATTTGAATGGTCAAATGTACTAAAGTACAAAACAAGATTAAAATAATCCATTTGAACCTAATTCCCCAAGAAGGGGAAAGATTAGGTGGTTTCATGGATGTTTAAAAGTCTTACAAAAAATAAAGTAGGAAAATAAGTTTGAATTCTTTATTGATTGAGCATTTGCTGATCAAAAAGCTGAAAGGTTTGTATAAAATTGAAGAAGGGGAAATTGAGAGGAGAATTTAAAACTGTTACTCATTAGAATAAATAAAATAAACAAGAGTTAGTTTCACTTTCTCAATCATACACAATTATATCAACTGTTTATCCATAACTACTCACTCAAGGCCTTGAAACATCATATCAGGTTAATAAAACAGTTGAAATTATAACTTAACACTTAATTAAATCTCCTTAGTCAACTGTATCTTAACTTAAAGTTTGATACTTAAAAGAGCCTGTTACAGTGTTTTAAAAGCTATGGCAACAACTGAAAATACCTCAGATTTAAACAAAATTATTTCAGATTTGAATGAAATCCAAGTTGCACAAGATTCAGGATTCAATTAATTTAAATATTTTTGGTTAATAAATTAACTGTCAAACATAAACAAAATATCAATAGCCCATTATACAAAATTATATCAAACATTAAGTGGTGTAGTTCAAACCACAAACAAAATGGACTGGTACATCAAGTGAAATGGATGGATTTTGTTCTGGAATATATTATAATCCAATCAGGATTTATATGAGGCACCAACAGAAGGACTAAAATGAAACAAAATTTTAGCAATTTATAAGTGAGATTCCACAAGCACAAAAAAAGAAGTCACACAGGATGTGTAGTATATAGTCACCTAAAATATAAGTATAGCAGTTTTACAGCCAATCAACAACTATCTAATTTAGGGACAGAGGCATTTTAATCATTTTTATGGATCCTAATTTGTGTAAAATGGTTTTGAGAATCTTCCAAATATGGAATGGTGATTAAAATAAAAATAAATCATAAAAGTTAAATT